TCATCCAAATCAAATTGCAAGCCATTCATCCTAGACACGGAGATGCCGTGTCTAATTCAAAACCTGCTAAAGAGACAAAAAATAAATTCAAAACTTTATAATAATTAGTATTTTTTTCATATGTAATATTAATATTACTAAATTAAATAAAAAATATATCTTGTTAATATTTTTATTTGAAAGAATTCTTAAAATTATTGTTTTTCAGTGTTAGAAACATGACGATATTATCATGTTCAAAAGATTTAAGATTAATTTCTACTTGTGATTTGTGAATATTACTAGTCTAAGAGAATTTTATATGTGATGAAACTTCAGTTAAAAAAAATCGATTATACACATAAATGCAACGAGACTTTATACACATTTAAATTTAAGAATGAGAACTGAGCTAAGAGTGATGGAAGTTAGTTATATGAATATGAAATTTGGAAGTGATGAGATGCAAACATTTGTGTGTGTAGTACCAGACGCCATCACTACTTTCTGCAAACATTTATTTCTGCCCCGTATGGACACACTCATATTTGTTCACTTTGTCTGTGACATCATATATGTGTGATTTTCATTTAATTGTTAGCTAACAGTAAGCTTCTTCAGATGTCATCTGAGACAATCAATAGAAAGTTTAACAAAACTACTAATTAACTAAGCACATGCCCAAACTTTAATTTTCTTTACAACTTCACAAAGGCTGTTATGATGAATGATTCTACTTTAATGTAACTTCTGCATTAAAGTCCTTGAATCACGTTATACATTCTGACTGTAAACTTGTTCTGTGTTCTTGCCTGCGCACACATGAGTGGTCTGTGTTATACATCAGTACCAGTGGAGGAATAATAACACAAGTAAAACCAGTTCAGTTATTAGACGATAGAGTCATGCAATTTCAGCTGAGTTTCTTCTTTTACTGTAATGTTTTGAACTTACAACATCGTTAGTCTATTTTTTGAGTTAAAATCTATAGCAATTTTAATTTATTGACATTGACTCAATGTTCTTTGGTTTTTCTTAACAGCTTCACTCATTTATCAAAATTTGATACGTTATTCCTTATTTTGGCATATAAATAACCATTTTCAGAAATCAATTCTCAATAAAAATAGACAACACAAGAAGATTTTAACCCTATATATATTCATTTGGAGTATCGTGACAAGAAAATGGCATTTAAAGTGTAATTGTTTTCCGTGCATTAATTACACAGTAGTTAGAAAATCGTGAAAAATGTATAAATAAATATATTTTTTGAAATTTTATTTTACTAATAATAAAAAATATAAATTCAATGTGAACGCATAGAAGTTTGAAAATTGTAAAAAGACATTATAAAATATTCTAAATAATTAAACATTATCTTATGTAAATATCTATCATCTCATCTCATTATACATAAAAGTAAGATAAAGTGAGGATATTATGCAGTATTTTATAAAAAAAATATTTTTTTATAAATTTTTTATAAATCTATTATTAAATTTCGGTAGTAAATTTATTCAAAAAGAAATGAAAACATAATATTTTAATTTTAAATTTAATTTATCAATGTAGTTCTTGTTCCTATTTTGTTTGGTCAATGTAAATCTTTTGAATGTTATAAATAATTTTTAACACTATTCAAATTGATATCCAATCAACACCTATTATATTTTTAAAAAAATGTCTTTATATATATGTATATAGTGTATCGAGAATTTTTTTTATGAATTAGGGATATCTATATAATCTTCTATTGAATTTTTATTTAAGTTTATTTAAATTTTATCAAATAAAAAATGCATTATATATTATGCTATTCAAAAAGAGTGTGAATAAGCAGATGAGAGTGTATTTTATACACCTCATCAAGTAATATAATAGAAATGCTAGACAGCACCCAAAAATTTACTACACAGAAAGTATGAATTCAAAATGCGCTAACAAAAATTACTTTTCAGTATTGAAATTTTAAAATGCCGTGTTTTTATTACTTAAAAGTTTTTTTAAAAGTGAATAGGTATACAATCTAAAAAATTAGAATTATAAATTATTAGTAAGGAGTATGATTAGGTAAATGAAAGTGTGACCTTAATGCCTATTATTCTCAGCCGATCATGAAAGCTTGCGCGTTGATCGATCAAAGTACCTCTGACCTTAATGCATTTTAACGATTTTTCTTAATAAATGTCACGTATGGGTAAGGGGTGGGAATTCCTAAAATTACATTTTAATTTTAGCAATAAGTGAAATTGAGGAGCTGTTTGATTTTTGAAAATATTTTTTTGTTTTTGTTTTTAATTACAAAACTGCAACTTTTTTATTCTTTTTTTAAGATTTGTACGATAAGCAATAAAAAAATAATATTTTTGATACCAATATGTAAAAATAAAAAATAATAATTTCTCAAATCAAGCAACCCCATTGAGGAATGTGAAGGGGATATTTGCAGGCTTCTTCAGTGAGAAAGCATACAGAAAACTACCGAGCAACATGGAAGGACAACCTCCATAATTTAAACATCTCAGTGTCTTCACAGGCTAGGTAATTGTATAGTGAGCTTTCATGCAGATGCACAACATTCTTCCCTTTTGGCTTTGCCGCAATAACAGTTTTCCCCCCTTTACAGTCACATTTATGCACCCATTTGTTGTATTCTATTCACCCCATTAGAAAGGTCACCTTGCTGTACCTATCTAGCTTCTCTTTTCAATTGTTCCACCGCCATATGAAATATAAGCAATCTCTGCTTTTAAATATTAACTCGGTTAAATATATATATATATATATATATATATATATATATATATATATATATATATGTTCCACTGATTTTCTTTTCTAGAGATTCATTATACCCATTGAAATCTAAAGAAATTCATATATGAAGAATAAAATGAACCCTGACAAGTACAAATTTTAATGGGGTTGCCTCTTCAGCCAGGGGTTTATAATCAAAGGTGATGAGAAATAAATGCCTGTGGAATTCGTATTCGTTAAAGTCCCAAGTTAAAGCGGGTTATCTATTACTGAAAGAAGAAGACATGCAGGGAATTTGTATATACGAATTAGTTTACGGATCCTATTAGTCAAGCATTCATCAAGGAATAGAAAATAAAAAATATTTATTTATTATATTTGATTGCATTAAAATTTGTTGAATGAGGGTGTATTATTAACTTGTTTTAAACAATTTTATATATATTTTTATTTCTTAAGCACTGTTCTTAAGGTACTTATTAACATTTGTTTAATTTTTTAGATTTTTTTAACTAATACAAAATTGCATATGATAAAAAATTAATAAATACTATTTTGTTATGAAAAAATATCTTATTTAATAATATCGATGTAATAAATTATATAATTTTGAAATTTTTAATAACAATTATATATATATATATAATTTCTTATCTTCTGTAATTTTATACAAATTAAAAAAAAAATTATTTGAACGTAATAACAGTTCATTTATAATTGACAATCTATTTGCTATTAACTAAAGTTGTCTTTAACCAAGTCGTATTAGCTAGATCGATCCAGCTGGTTGGATCAAGAAACTTGCGAATTTATCTCTGGACAAGTTTGACTTTTGTTATCAACATTTGTTTGTTTTAAAGTTATAAAATTAATTTTTATTTTTTAATAAAAACCTTTTTAATAAATGTATATAATTTAAATTAATTTATGCTTATATTTTCAATATATTCAATAATTTATTTTCTTGTTAAAATTGATTCTGTTCAATTTTATATCCAATGAATATAGTTAGTAATTTTTTATGTCAGATTGGTTTGATTTTTCTAATAATAAAATTATAAAGTTATTTATATAATTTGAACAATATGGTATATTAAAGATTCTTGTGAGGAAGCAATATTACCGCACATTATTATCATTAAATTGTTAGTGTTATCCAATCTATTTAACATTTGAACCCAACGGTGATTTATCAGTTCATTACTACGGCTAGTTTAGTCACATCACATAACACAATTTTACGTGAAAATAAACTTTGAAAAAAGATAATATATACTAAAGAATCATATAATATATTATAATGAATAGAAATAACAATGTACTTTTAGTGCAAATGACATCATAATAAATTAAAGGATGAATTTTTTTAAACTGCTGACTGAGAAAATAAAAAATAAAAATATTAAAAATTACATTGAACTGCATTAAAAATCATAAAAAATATATATTAACAACATTTTTAAATAAAAAATATTCACTTTTGAGTACATAATATCATTTGTCTAAAATATTTACGAATTATCTGTAAAAGAGTGTTGAACTTCAATTTGAAATTTAATGGACATAAATTCAAGTTTAAATATTTCACTGTTCATTCCCAAAAACTTTAAACATTTCAGTGACATATTAATGAAGGAGAGCAGAGGTATTTATTAAAGGCAATTGTAACGAGGATGCGCGCGCAGTGATCCATGACACCCTCTCTCCTAGGCCTGTTCCTAATTATAAACACAATACTCTCATTGGTGATATATATCCTTATATCATCAAGTGTTAGCGCTTGTAAGTGGCAAAATAACTACCTCAAAAGTTGCATTAACCGCCTAACATCAGCATCCATTGTTTCACAAACGCCATACCTTGAGCATTGCCATAGTATCTCTATATAAAAGTTATAAAACCCTTCTCTTTCTTTCCCATTCTATCACCAAACCTCTCTACAACGTTTCTCAACATTTCTCTTTTAGTTTTGATTTCTGCTGCAGCTTCTGTTCTGCTTCGTCATCATCCTTTGAGAGATAGAACCCTAGGCACCTAAAACGGCTTAGAGTGCACATCTTTTCAGAAAGACACCAACATGAGTAGCAGTTCATGATAGTGATCGTTTAGTCTCTATCACATTCACATCAGCACCCCCTCTCATATTTACTCCTTTTTGTTTTCACCTCAATTTTAGGTCTCTGTTCCAGTCCTTTTCTCACTCCACACTTTCTCATTCTCATATCCCCACTAAGCCCATTTTCCGGAGTAGAAGAAATAATATGGATGAAAGTTTATCTGATATTTTTGAAGACAAAGAGTTCGGCGGGGACGATCTCTTTGCCATCTTGGAGAGCCTAGAATCAGATTTTACTGATTTCCCTCTCATTAACGAAAATGTTACTATCTCAATTTCCAAAGACATGAACGAGGATGTCTCAAGGTTGGTGTCCCAAAAGTCAACCTCTTCAAGTGCTCCACTAGATTCCGAAACCGAACCTGAAACCTCACCCAAAACCAAGAGACAAAAACTTACCCCTACTTCCTCGGAGGAAGCAAACCCAGATGGACAACAAAGGATGTCCCACATTACCGTGGAACGCAACCGAAGGAAGCAAATGAATGAGCACTTGTCCGTGTTGAGATCACTCATGCCTTGCTTTTATGTCAAAAGAGTAAGTCATATATTTAATACTTTTTTTTTTTTTTCAAATGATACATTGCAATGATATTTAAGTGCACCATGCATTTTTAAATCCCAACATTAAGTATAATCAGATTATAATACATGCTTATGCTTATGTCTCTGACTGACCAGTATATGATATGAATATTAAATAATCACAATTTTTTATGGCATGGTTTTAGGGAGATCAAGCATCGATAATTGGAGGTGTGGTTGATTACATAAACGAGTTGCAGCAGGTGCTCCAAGCCCTGGAGGCGAAGAAGCAAAGAAAAGTTTACAGCGAAGTACTAAGCCCTAGGCTTGTTTCAAGCCCAAGGCCTTCCCCACTTAGTCCCCGAAAACCACCTCTTAGCCCAAGACTAAACTTACCCATTAGTCCAAGGACACCACAACCACAACCAGGTAGCCCTTATAGGCCTAGGTTACAACAAGGCTACAATAATATTATTTCACCAATTCTAGACCCATCTCCTACTTCTTCAGCTTCCTCCATCAACGACAACATCAATGAGCTCGTTGCCAATTCCAAGTCCCCTGCTGCTGACGTGGAGGTCAAGTTTTCAGGTCCACATGTTCTTTTGAAAACGGTGTCGCACAGAATTCCCGGCCAAGCTCTCAAGATCATAATGGCTCTTGAAGATCTTGCGCTCGAAATTCTCCATGTCAACATTAGCTGTGCTTCTGATGATACCATGTTAAACTCATTCACTATCAAGGTACGTACATTCTTGGAAAAGGAATATAATGCAAATGCCTATCGTCTTTTTTCTTTTTATATACTTCCTCTGCTTAAGTTGGACCTTAAGTTATTACTGCCCCACTTCAACAAAATTTTAAAATGCCATCTGTTTGTAACCATGTTTAAAAAACTACTATTAGTAATTTAATTAACACTAAAATTAATGTATATCTACCAACATTCAAATGTAAATTCAAACAGTCATATGATCTCTGCAAATTATTACATAACCAAAATAATCCTAATGATATTGAATGAATTAAGTAATAACAACGGTTGGTTTCGTTTTTTACTGCGCTACTATGGGTTGCAGTTTTTCATTTCGACATGCTAAAAGAAATTTTCTATTTAAATTGCTAAAATTCGATATTTAATTAATTTTATCTTTTAGTAATTTTTTTATGTGTACATGTTCATAGAATATATCTCTAAAACAAAAAAACTAAAAATATTAAACATCATTTCCAAGTTAAAAAATAAGACAAACGTGTTTTAAAGTAGTAATTAAAAAGTTTAATATAAAAAATTATTAAAAATATTAATTATTCTGTTATTATTTGGTTAACTAGTGTACTTGGAATACTAATTGATTAACAATACCCTGCAAATAAATGGGTTGATGTACCTGGGATGGTACCACATTTTTTATTGCTTCTGTTCGGGAGACCAGGGATACATTTGTCATGGCTCCTCTCAGACATTTGTCCTCATTTGGTGCATATATAAATTGATGTGTCTTTTTATTTATTTAAATTGATCATTTCATGGAAGTAACTTATGATTGAGAATTTATGCATGCTACTTACGTGTTCAATTTAGGTTCACTAAATAAATGTGACTTCTTGTTTGTAGATTGGGATTGAATGTCAACTGAGTGCCGAAGAACTCGCTCAACAAATCCAGCAAACATTCTGCTAATTACAAACATGGGTTGTGCCTGTCCAGCCTGCACACCAAACATCAGCATTAACCTCTCTCTCTCTCTCTCTCACTGTGTTTTATGTACCTGGCTGTACTAAGAACAGAGAACGTAGGCAGAGCCATTTAATTACAAGCATTTGTCATTTTTCTTAATTTATTTTTACTACAGCAATTGCTAGTGTAATTGGTCTCAGCAAGTATTAACTAGTTAGTATAGAGCGACTCTCTTGTAAGCCTTTATTTGGTGTATGCATTAGATTTCCATTTCCCAAATTGAAACACTTGTCAGCAAATTTTGATTGAATTTGGGTTAAGTTTTCAACTTGTCCTTTAATAAATGTTCAAAAACTATATGCATTACATAATGTTATGTCTTCTTACAAGATTTTTCTATTTATTCTATTTTTTAATAAAAAAAAAGAAAAATATTCAATGTCTTGGAAGTATAAAAAAAATATCTAAAATTTTCTTCATCTGATTAATTAGAAGATCAATAAAAAAAAATGGTATTAGAATTTAGAAGTATTCTGCTCAACCATTTTTACTTTTTGTTTTGTTCATTCGTGCAGGGGAGCATGTAACTAAATTAAACCTTCCGTAAAAGAAAGAACCTATTTTGTATTTAAAGTAATTTATTATCAAAATTTTATATTAAAAAAATTAAATCTATTACCAGACATACTCCGACAATAAAAAAACTGTACAGTTTCATTTTATGAACAATGGAGCAAATACCCAACTAACTCACTGCAAAAAGATCAAAAGAAAATTAATGCTTAATACAATACATTCCATTATCAAATTTATACAAAATTCGAACGGAAATGTGCACTTTTAAATTCTCTGGGTCTTTGTTCACAAAAATATTGTGCAAGCTTAAAGTTTCATGCAGAAAAAGTAAATTGGGTTTTGAAGGCCTGTTAAAATTAAATAAAATAATTGTCTCATATATATGAACTATGATTATGGGCATAAAAGGAGACGGCAAAAAACGATTGATATTTAGATATTAAGAAAATATTTTTTTATACTAGTGTAAGTTTAAAAATTGCTCATAACTCTAATGGGTCTAACATTTTTTTATTTTATTCAAAAACATGAGTATTATAATATATAAATAAAAAATTCTCCTAAAAAATTTAAAACCAAATATAAAATATAATCACTACAATTAATATTTTTAAACATTCGAAAAATTTTCCACCAACCAAACCAGACCAAACTTTCTTGTTGGCTTCATCATCCCTAGGCTGTGCAGGACATGATTACCTTTCGCACTTCAATACAAGTGAGGGATGGGTCACTGCACTTGATATACCAACTCCATTCACATTTCCATTCAAATTTATCAGTAATTATGTCATTCAGTTAATTATAACAAACTATAGGGAATAATTTTTTAAATAGGATTTGAAATATATATATATATATATATATATACTAAAATATAGTATTTCTAAAAAAAGTATAAAATTATGCGATTTAAAAATTATTATGGACAATTTTTGGTATAAGTACTAATATAATAACAAAAAATCATTAAATTTAAAAATTTGTCACTGAAATTTTTTTAAAAATATATCTAATAAATAAAAAATAGTCACAGGTAAATTTTAAAAAATAATAAAAAATGACCACAGGTGATTTGTAAAAAACGAATTAGTAAAAAATGCCACTAATAATTTTTAAAAATATCATATTTTGGTAATTTTTTTCAAAATACTATATTTTAGTAATTTTTCATTTTTTTCTTTATAAAAAATGACCATACATTTAGATGTTAACTTCATTAAATGTTTATTTGATAAATTTTTTATTCTATAAAGAGTTTATATCATAAATTTGATTATTAAACATATTGACAGGGTAAAAAATTAATTTGATAAGTTATATAAAAAAATTAATTATATAGGTTGAGAAGAAGTTATAAGGAGTCATGATATATTTTTATAAGTTACACATAGTCATTATTATTTTAAAAAATCACAATATTAAATAAAAAAGTAAAAATGCCTTAATGCCTTGTGAACTAAAAAAACAATATTTCTTTTAATTTTTATGATGCAAGAGTTTTTACTTTAACCATTGAATCACTGTACAGCGATTAATATATAATCAGAGGAGCCGGGGATTGTCTATATGTAATTTGTTGGGTGTGATGGATTTATCTCCCTTTTTTAAGATGCAGAGTAAATTTTCTATAATATAATAATATATTTCCATAAATTTTTATAAGTATAAGCTCATACCTTACAATCCATTCAATTGTCATCCTTACAAGAGTTAGTGAATTAGAAAATCAATTCCTCTTTTGATTTGGATGAGGGTATAATTGAAGTTTTTGTGGAACAATTAACAATCCCAAGTTCAAGCAATAATTCCAAGTTGCTAATCATGCGACACAGTTTCTTAAGAATTACTTACTTTTTCTTTAAAAAGTAAAAAACAATTCATGGCAATGCCATCGATTTGAGGATGATGGAGACTTTTGATGGCACGCTATGATTCTCGTTTGTAATTGACCAATTTAAGCCCATCCCTGACAGTTGTCAAATTTAAGCCCATAGTTTTCCTTGACCATGCTAAAAGTTTTGGGCCCAAAACTTTTAATTATTGCTGATTAACCCTCATTCATTGTCGAAAGCAACTTTTGTGGACTAAATAAGTAACACCATACACCTTGAATACTAAATTGAACTGAATAAACTTGAACTTGTATGTAAGTATACAACTTGAATATATACTATATATATTGCTTCTTTTATATTTTGAAAAAGTATCAGGAATACAATTTTTTAAACACACTTAGATATTGATTAATATTTATTTAAAAATACAAAAATAAGAATGATAAATATTAAATTAAAAATAATATTTATATAGTTTTTGTATGAATTTTAGCTAATAACAAATATATTTATATATTTGAAAAAGCGTACTAGAGAGTTTACTATTAGTTTTTCTTTTTTATATCTTTTCAGTGCATAGGCATCCCAAAAACTTCATCTAAAATAGGTGTGAAAACTAATCATACAATAAAGAGTATTCAGAAGAAAATAGTTGTAAAAATATAAGCGTTGTTTTAAAAAAAATAAAATTTTTAAAACCAAAACTAAGAAAAGGAATTTTGAAGGACTCGGACTAAATTTAACCATATTTATTAAAAAAATTAAAAACAAATTACCCTTAATTTATATTTATTCCGTTATTCTTCAGCCTTGTTTTTTTAGGAAACCTTGATGTTTTAATTTCAGTTGGAAATAAATGCAATTGCTGATAGTGTGGTTTAAAGAAAATGAATAAATATAGTATATAGAAAAGCATTTTGAAATTTCATTTGACAATAATAATGCTTAATATCTAGTTTCACGTCTTTTATTTTTAATCCAAGTCGTGACTTCAACGTGTAAAGCACTATTGTCCCACTTAAATCGCAGTTCAACTAAAAATCATGAATGATCTCAATCTCCCCTTTGTTTTTGTCCGCGTAAACATTTCCATGGCCAAAGTCAAAGATCAACATCTTAACATGCTTTGTGAATACATAATTGATAGAGAATTTGAAACAGATACAACGTATTATCTACTTTTTCCCCATTTCCCTGACTCCAGAAAATGACCATTTCTTCACCCAGTTTTGCGTTGTGGAAGCAATGAAGCACTACCTATCAATAAGTAAAACTAAACCATGATTAATAAATTCCAAAAATGAGAAAAATTTGGAAAAACAAACTCAAGAAAACCTACGCGATAACTTGACCAGCCTCTGATGATAACGGGAATTTATTGTTAGACTAAACAAACTAGACACGAGTAGCTAAGACATACATTGAAATGTTTTTGCCCCTCTTAATTTCTATATGGTAATATAATATAAGTGTAGAATATTGAATATTACGTCACCTGCTAATGTCTTGCCTTCATCACATGCTTCTAATTATACTATTTTCTTTACTTTAAAAAAAATTGACTTTGATCCGGCTTCTTCTCTGAATTGAGTAAATTTTCACGAGAAAAATCGTGGGTTATCGAATGTGAAGTTATGGCCATCAAACTCAAAGTGGTCAAAAGGAAAGACGGTTGGTGAGTTTGCAGCTGATGTAGCAGCTGGGATCATGTCATTGATCTGAGAAGCAGAAGTTGCCAAATTTGGGTGTCCCTCGAATGTGTGGACCCCACTTGGAGACACCGAAAAGTGGCTTATTCCTGATGTATTAGGGGACATGTAGGAAGGAGAAGTGAAGTTCTCAGCATAGTTGTTTTCAATGATAGGGGATGGGAAAACTTGGTTTTCGATTTTGATGTTTGAAGTTGAAGGGAAATGGAATGGAGCAAATGATTGGCCAGGGGAATCTAAGTTCTCTGTCTGAACTCTCAGGCCTGCACGGAGGCTCAGAAGTACTTCATTTGGTTGCTGCTCAAGTCTTTGCAGGACATTCTGCTGCTGCTGCTCCTGAGGGTTTGTGTTCAAACTTGGTTCTTGGTTTTCTAGTGGACTTGATGAAGAACCCACGTTGCTGGCCACTGTGCAAGTGTGCTTTCCTCTGTATGTGATTTCAAACACAGTGGGATCTTCATCAGATCTTTGCACTTGCTTGGTGGCCAAGCACCCTTGAACATTTCTGTGGGTGCATCTGTAGTAGCCCCTGCATGCACACAAATCATATCTAGTTCAATCCAATAGACACAACAGTTACTTACACAACTAACATTCCTAGAGCATTAAATTTGGAGACCAAAGTTAGGTATAGTTATTTATGTTTTTTTTACATTGTTTGCCCATGAAAATTAGAGTTTTATTTTGATATCCCGCGATAACATTAAATGTAAACTTTTTATTGAGGTAAATTTCTAATTTTAATGAGTACACAGCACTAAAAGCATACTTTAGTTTTGTACTAAATTTGTGCTACCTCGGGTACATGGCTCCAAGGATGTCTTTCTGGCCATATTTTCTCCAACTATATCCATCATCAAGGGGCCCTTCCACTCCCACTCCAGGTTTAACCCGAATCTGTTTGGTCCATCTTGGCAAAGTGTTTCTGTTGTGAAAGGAGTTTATCATGTTATATATAGTAAGAGACTAAGGCTATATACACTAGATGTAGTAAGTACTAAGTGCATAATAAGGACGGAAATCAAAGCGTTATTATATAATATAAACCTCTTTTTGGAAATATTATGGTCCTGGTCCTTCAAATCTTTATCAGAGTCTTCACTGCGGGGGCTACCACTCAAAGGTGAGTCTGACATTCGGATTGCAACCCCTGAGGGCTGTTGAGATGACTCACCTACTGGCCCTTTCCAGTTTACCATTTCAAGAGCCTTTTCAAATGTGGATATGATCTTTTGGATCAAGAGCTCACGTGTTTCTTGGGATGAAGAAGGCATGTGGAGATACACTTGGAGTTGCCTTGCCAACTCCAAACCTTGTAGTAACTCATATATGATGCTCTTTGGATCTCCTTTGTTGTCCATGTCAGCATAAAAAGAGAAATAAAGGGTTATTACGTACCTAGCTCGCTCGTGTTATGTCAATGATATGAACCCCGTGATTGGTGTGCCAAGTGATGAAAATTGATTGGTTTCAAAAGAGCAATCTTATGTCAGAACCCAAGTGGCACATGCCAAAGAGAGCCTGAACAGAACATGAACCAAGAAAACAAAGCTAAAACAAGGGATTGGTGCTGGCAGAGAAGAATCACAGGGTTTAAACAAATAAAGACAGAGAAAAAAGGGTCATTTAATTTGAATCTTAAGTGTCCATGGTTTGTCGTATGAGAATTAAAAAAAGGCTTTGGTTGCAGAAACAGCACTTTAAAGACAAGAAGAGAAAAGCAAGTGGAGTTAAGGATGAAGGGGAGTTATGGGGTTAGGATTTAAGGTGGGGGTGCTTTTTGAAAGAAGAAAGTGTGGGAAAGCACAGAAAAATAAAAAGGGAAGAAAAGTTTGACTGAGAAAAGTGGCGGAGTGAATTTTCCTTACTCGGACTAGTCTTTGGTCATAGGAATAGCGAGTTCTAAGGGTGAGGATGTGAGGTCTAATTGCTGACCGATTCTCCTCACAGAGCCTTCTTTCTCATTGACCCTCTCCTATGGTCATTCACATATTTCATACCATATGATTACTCACAATCACAACACCAACGATCAATCTCTGACTTCTTCTCTCACTTAGGACTAAGAAGCAGTAAAAAAGGGTACAAAACATGGATAAAATAATAAACAAACAAGTCAGAGTGATATGAGGGGTAAACATGGAAAAGAACAAGACTAGGAATCTTCAAACCTCGTTCCGCGTCATTACCTTTGTAGCTTCCAACGTTTTATCAGCGACACAGTGACGTTGGCTTTCATCGCTTGCTACCGTCACTCTTTGGCAAGTTCCAACCATTTCTAACGTCAAGTTTGTCAAATGGACCTTACTAACAAGAGAAGAGATTGTCGATGCCGTGAACCGTGCCAGTGCCAACGTGTTTTTTTTCTTCTCCTCAAGAGACAATTTCTTACGTTTATTTAATTTTTGCTTTCTCAAACACGTTTTTTTTTCACTTGTAATTACGCCTCTTTCTTTATAATTTTTCTAATATTCAATAGATTCTTCGACTTGATCTGATCAAAGCCACATGTTGATTTTGTTTATCAAAAGTGATTTACTTTTTATTTTATTTTTTTCGCGTACCATTATCAGTCTTTTGGAAACTCCGATGATTTCATGCTCTGATATGTGCATCAGCAGCCTTAATGTTGGGAAGGAGGATTTGTAGTTTAGTTTTATTTTCACGTTAAAAATGAATCAAATTAAATATAAAAATAACATGTAATTTAGTTTGGATTTATTTATTTGATTACTTGTTTATTTATGGTAAATTTTGTAATTTGGTTTTTAAATTTTATTTCCATTTTTAATTAATTTTTTATTCAATTTAGTATTCGTAAATTTAAATTTTAAATTAGTCATTCGTGATATTATTAAATTCCATCTAAAACTATATTTTCAATTAGGTCAATTGCTTTGACCCATCTAATTCTCTTTGTATAGGCTTGTAAAATACAATAAGATTTTCGGATAAAGATTGTTCGTTAATGATGGTAAAAGCTCTAAAGATATTTGTTTAATTATTTTCAAAATACAGATATTTGAAACAAAATGGATTTTAAAAAATAGCTTGATTTAACTTTTCATTTTGATTCATATAATCTTGCAAAAGTTTGATATGTCAGTAAAACTCAACTTCTAAAACAAAATCCCAATGAATATCAACACTCGTTGAAAGAAAAAGAAAAAGAAGAAGAGATATTCAAAATATTGATATGTTGTTAATCGTAATATATATAGCGGTTAGAAGAATTCTCTAATTAATTTTAATAGTCATTGAAAAAAAATTTAAACAATATTTAATAATGTTATAATAGAAAGACTAAATTTGAGATAAAAATAATTCAAAAAAGACTGAAGACTAAACTAAACTAAAAAAAATAGATAACAGATTAGAAAGCTAAAAAAATGTTAGAAAAACAATAAATTTTCTTATCTTAATTGAATTTATATTTTTTAATTTTTGTATATTACATTTAATTTAGATAAAAGAAGATTGATCTCTTGGTTAAGAACAAAACCTGAAATGAGTTTGTTGGGAGAAAAAAAAATAGAAGTTAATTAAAAGGATAAAATTATGAAAAACCATAGTACATTCGTTTGCAGAGAATAAAAAAAATGAAATTAAGAGAAGATGACTGAGAGTCTAATAGTAAATCGGAGCATACTGTGTAGTTGAACAAAATTATGATAAAAATAAGAAAAAATCATTTTTACAAAAAAAACCACACACACATATATAAAAGTTTTAAAAAAATTTATTTTAAATGTAAAAATATAAAAGTTAAGTGTCAATTTATACAGTAGCTTAAAATTGTTTACCTGTTCGCAGAGTTAGTAAAACAAATTATTCATACGTGACAATTGTAGATAGCAAACATTAGTGAACTAAAAAAAAATTAAGATTAATAAGAACTATCAAAATAACATTATTAAATAAAGAATATAATTTAAAATTTTGCTTAATTGTTATTTAAATTAATTTTTATTGATATATTTTTTAACATTTTTATTATTGATATATAATAACAAAGTAATAAGAATCAATTTTTAATATAAAATACTTTGTTAATTTTTTTTCAAAAAGTAAAGTATATAATTTTTTTTAATTATCAAACAAACCCCTTATTGTCACGAAGAGAATGATGGAGTGAATTTTCTTTGAATCGTTTGGGCAAATGAGTCATATCCACCATTCCACGAATCCTCTTAAGATTACATAAATATCCCCAAATATGTGTGTAAACATATTTATTAACGTTCGTCCCTTTATTCGTTTTCATCGTTATTAATATTTATATATTTCCAAATAAAAATAAAATAGTCATAATCCTTACTTTCTTCCTGTTCTCATTGTGTTTCTCATCTTGCGACAACACGAGTGAGTTTGATAATCAATTTTTAAATAAATAATCTTATTTAAAAAAAATTAAACACTAAAAAGGGCATTTTTATTTTTATTTATTTTACGAGCAAACGAATTGGCCCATAAACTGATGAAATTAAGCCATTTAACTTGCAAGATTATGTAGTTTCATTAGCGAGAGTTCATGTACCTACTTCTAAATGTAAATTTATGTCCGTATCATGGTGCGTTGATCATGTACAAATCAAAACTTCCAAAATTGTCATTGTCCTTCAAAATTGATTTGAATCACAATGACAATTACTGTAAGTTTTGTGAAGGATCGTGATTCTTGACCTCAACGATCTAGAACAAAAAATTCAAATATATGATTTACCTTGTGTTAAATGGAACCGTCCTTGCTGTTGAATGATTCAAATACATGATTTAGATTCGTAGCCAAAAGAAATGATCTAGAACAATTAGACCAGTTCAATCTGAGTTATTGCAAGAGTGGAGACACAACCACTCTCGTCAAACGGAAAAGGAGTGATAAAATGCTATTTTGGAAAAGTGGAACACAATCATCAACCTCGGGAATATAAAGGAAAAGAAAATGAACATAAGCACAGTTTGGTTGGTATGAAACAAAGTTTGGTAAGCCGCAAAAATTACGGGCTGTCTGGAATGGGAAGTGTGGGCCTTGGAACCTAAACCCATGGGCCATGCTGCCCCCACCATAGACTTGGGCGTGTGAAATGTGCACTGACCACGAGCCTATATCATGTTATCACAACCTGGTCAAGGCCCCAAGGAGATTTCAGTCATTTCACAAATTCGGCCAATGTGTTGTTCCACACTTTCATCTATGTACGGCCAAATTAAATTATTACCTGCTAGTTTGTAAACTAAATAATTTATGCATACTAATAAAATATAATTATGTATCATAAATATATTCCATATTTTAAAATTATTTATAATATTAACTAGTTAAACATGTAATTTGTATTAGTTTTCTATTCGATAAGATGATGTATTTATTGTCATTTTTAAGTATTTGTTGTTTTTTTTAATTGATTAGTTTTTGTCTAAATATAAATATTTTAAAAAACCTTAAATAAAAACCACAATAACATGCAAGAGTGATGATGGACACTTTTTAAATAATAATATATAAAATTAGGTTTATATTTAATTAAAAAATTAATTATTTTTATATTTAGGATAAAAATAATATTAGTAATTATTTCTTATAAATAAGAGTAAAAATAGTATAGCTGAACAATATTTTTAGTTTCAAATATTAAAAATTTGTTAAATATTTGTTATTGAATATTTGGTATAAATAAAAAATTTAATAAATCATAGTTTTATTTTATTAATTTTTAACATAATTTTTAGTAAAGCGTTGACTTTTTAGTTACTAATTATATCTTATTATAGTTTTAATATAAAAAGTTTTAATAGATCATAGTTTTAATATAAAAATAAGATCTTAACAAAAGAAGTTACCTCTCCATTTTATATTATTCATCATTCTTATATCTTATATGTGTTTTAAAAAGTTTGTAATTTTAAAAATTTAAGAATAATTTAAATATTTTTAAATTTTTACTCTTATCTAACATTATGAATAATTAATTCAACTAACTATTATCATTATATCTATTATTTATCACTTTCTTTTTATCAAATAATGTGAGATTCGTGCGTGAAGTTAAAGGGAAATATGTGAAATAAGTAAAATATAAATATACATACTTTAGACAAAATATTGTAAAAAATAATAATTAAAATGTATTGAAAATATATAAATCGTATTGACAATCAATTTAATCATGAAATTATACTATTAACGGTACAATAAATCTAATACATCTAATTTTGGTGCATTTAAATTTATATGATTATTTCTTTAAATATTTTAAAATTATTCAATTGTAATATAATTTTGTCAAAAAAATATCTTACAATTAATAATAATCTTCACACACTCTAATTAATAATATCCTGTTTATTGTACAAGTAAATATTTTCTTTAGGTAAACTTTAAAAGTATAAAATAAAATGGGAATATCAAATTAGAATATAATATACAATTAGTTTAAATAATAAAAAAACGAACACTGATTGAGATGTATGTTGTTTAAGAAAAAAATAGTAATGCAAAATTAAAATTCAGAAGGCTTAAGGCCACTGTTAAATTCATATTTTAAAAAATTAAGTCACCAAATTAATCATTTAAAAATTTGAGTCATTATCACTTGAATTTTTTAAATTTTCGTTATTAATTTAGTTTTATTTTTGTCATCACCTTCATTTATAAAAATTAATTTAGTGAATCTTTGGATTTTTTTTTCCGAAGTTTAATTTGTCATTAATATTATTTTTATCATTTTATATTTTTAAGGATCAATATAATAATATTTTAAAAATATATAATAATGATTTAATTACTTAAATGATGACTTTATGATCAATTTTAAAAAGTCTCTATTTTAACTTTTTTTCACGTAATAATATAACCGACAATTTATTTTTTCATCCAGTTCTTGCCATTAATTTCCCGTCGTATTGTTTGAGAAATTCAAAGCCCGCAAGGTTGCTATGGCAACGTGGCATCTAAACTGCCCTGCCCCGTTAGGACCAATCAATTTAGACATTGAAATGGAAAACAGTCATTACATGAACTGTTTAGTTTTATAAAATATTTTAAATTATATATACAGCACATCATCAATGGATATAAAATGTTTCAGAATCAAATTTAAATATTTATCTCACTTGATAATTTTTATATAATATAAAAATCATTGATTTAAAAAACTTATTTTATTTTAATAGATGAGATATTTTAAAATATAAATTTTAAATAACATTTATACAGGTATTTAAATTATATAAAATAATTTATTGATTAATCTTACATGAAAAATTATCTGACCTCTCTCTCTCGCACACGTAAAATTTTGAAAACAAATAAGACAGAATCTCATGTCCTGAAACAGATGTGTTGGGTTAAGATTAACTGGTGATGGTAATGGAGTCTTCATTGGTGGTATTATATTTACTTTAACTTAAATTCGAGATCTATTCAGTAGTATTAAAATTAAGCTTAAATTATGAGAAAAAAATAACATTCAATAAAATAAAAAGATGTATTAGTATAAAACGAAAAAATAGAAATCTGCTTTCAATTTTTTTAATAATGTTATTTACCTTATCATTACATCTTTATGGAGGTGTCATTATTGGGGTTCAAATGGCACTATCATTAGCTTGTAGTTTATAATTGATTGTAGATGGACTTTTGGCAACCATTCACGCGCAAAGTTTAGTCCACCTTAGTGTTCGTTTTGTTTGAAATTGTTTTTGTAAGTTGACTATACTTAATAAAAGCATATATAAGGGCATTAAATATAACATAAATGCCTCAGAAATTAATTATAAAAATGACTTGTGTTTTTCAAGTGTCTTTAAACTTTTGTTTTTAAAATGTTGTTTACACTTTATCGTAAAATTTTATATAAAAAGTTATTTTAGATTATTATATTATCATAAACCTTTAAATTACGTTTCCACAATTATAATCAAACATAAAATAAGTCTCACTTGAAATAACTTATTTATTAATGTTTAAAATTACTTTTTTAATATTGAATAAATAACTCTTAATTATTCTTCGGTCTTCACCATTGAATTTGGATGAAGAGGAAAAAGATATTGTTTTAAAATTTGAAAATATGTGAATATATCGAATTAAAATAAATATATATCTATTTAAATTATTCTTATGTTAAAATTTGTTTCTCTAATCCTTTATTTTCTTTTCTCATGGAAACTAATTGCTCATTTTAAAACGTCAGTGACATGGATGATGGCTGGTATTGCGCTACGTAATCAATAGAGCACCGCTTGTATTGGGTCCCACAAAAGTAGCGAAAAAATTTCGGTCTCAAAAAGTATCCATCCACGTGTCAAGCGTGTGATCCACAAACCTCGTAAAATATCTGCTCCCCCACTCCAAAACCGCCACGAGGTACTTCACAAACACAATCCTCTTCCAACCTGAGCCACGTCAGCACCTGCAGCTTACGTGTTCCCATCACGCACCGCACATCTAACTTACGTTAATTCTCGGTCGTTGATTTTTCCGAGACAAATATTGTGGTCACCGTAATTCTCGTATTTCGCGTTTAATAGCACAACCTCATCGCACGCCACTTTCTCTCTCATTCACTTCTCATCTTCGATAGATTCCCTCCGTTTAGATTCATTGGCTTTCTTCTCACTGATCAAAGGTACTCTTCCATGCATCCTTATTTTTGTTTCAACACGTGTTTGTTTACTTGATGATTTGATTCCACAACTTTGTTTCATCATGTCATGTAGTGGCATAAATTTTCCACCAATTCTAATGTTTATTTGTTGATGTGTTATTCTTTTGGTATTAATCAAGAGATTGTGCTTCCTGTTTGATAATTGCGTGAAACTATTAGTCATGAATGTGCATTTGTATTAGCAAATGTCAATTGCAACCTGGTATATTTAATATTTATTTTTCTTGGCTTTTGTAGGATTTTGACATTGAAAATCTGTCATATTTTTGTAAAGGCGAATTTGGTAACCTGGTATGGGAGTTATGACTGTTTCTAGTTCAGTTGCTAGGACTCCATTGGGATTGAATACAAAGTTTTCAGGTCATCATTTTGGACTGAAGAGACCTTTAACTGTGGCATTTAAAGGGGATAAACAAAATGACACATCTTTGGTTGCAACTCAAGAGAAAATTCCAATGCACGTTGAAACGGCGAAGGCGCAGAAGAAAAGGAATGGAAAAACTAACAAGATACCAAAGAGAGAGAGAGTTCTCTTTGCTGAGGAAAGTTCTCCATCTTCCTTGGATGTGGACTACAATGAAGCTGCTGCTATACTTGAAAATATATACAAACTCAGTCCTGCATCTGATACATGTAATAAAGAATGTATAGATGGTAAAATCAGAAGAGTCTCTAGGAGGGGGAAGAAGATTGGTGATGAGAGTAAAGGAAAGGAGGAGTTCAGCAATGATAGGGTGGTTAGAAACCAGAACACCAAAGCCAAACGATTGAACCTTGATGAGAGGATTGCATTGAAAATGAAAAAAATTGAGGATGAAGTCATTCCAACTCGAAAGAGACGAAATGTTAGGAATAGAATTGAGAAGATTGAGGAACTTGTTAGGGAATATTCTGTGTCAATTGATTTTGTCAGTTTGGACTGGAAAAAAATGAGAATACCTCCAGTTCTTTCTTCTTCAGAGCATGCTTGGTTATTCAAATTGATGCAACCAATGAAGGTGAGCACTGAGCAGTGAATTATTATTATTTTCTAGCACCAATAAGTCCATTCCCTAGTAGCTTGGTAATCAAGGGATTCAAGGCTTTAGTACAATGCCAAGAAAATTTTATAGTAATTCAAAATGTGAGATGAAAGCTCAGAGTTTTCATTTTGTTTCTGACATTAAGTACCAATTCTTTATTCCCAGGCACTCCTTCAGGTGAAAGAAGATTTACAGAAGGAGCTAGCTAGAGAACCTACAGATGGTGAACTAGCTGATGCAACAAACATGAGCAATGCTCAAGTAAAGAAAGTAATAGAGGTTGGTCATGCTGCAAGAAATAAACTCATAAAGGTAATTTAAAGTGTTCAATTCTTTACAACTTGGCTTTCAAGAAGTTCCATAATATGAATTATATAATATGCCTACGTTCCTTTTACTCTTCTGCTCTCTCTTTGGAGTTAGGAGGTCAAATTACTGTTGGTTTGTTGCATTATCTGGAATCAGTACGTTATGTATAAAGAAGAATCGAGAAATAATTGTGTTCATATCTTTTGCAGCACAATCTCCGCCTTGTCTTGTTCGTGATCAACAAATATTTTTCAGATTTTGCTAGTGGCTCTAGGTTTCAAGATCTTTGTCAAGCAGGAGTTAAGGGACTTATAACAGCAGTTGATCGCTTTGAGCCAAATAGGAGATTTCGGCTATCAACATATGGTTTGTTTTGGATAAGACATGCTATCATTCGTTCGATGACTCTCTCAAACTTCACCCGTATTCCTTTTGGACTGGAATCAGTATGCATTCTTCCTACTATGCTTGGTGATTAATATTTTGTTCTAACCAGCATATAATTCAATGGCTTTTATTTCATTTTTTTTATTCCTGTTAGCGGATTCTTTGTTTTCAATGTCAACAACTTGTAATTCCTAATCAACCAGTTTGTCATGGTTGCTTGAAGGAAAAATCCAGGATTGTTTTACTAATCAACCAGTTAGGCAATAGATTTGTAAAGGCATGGATTAAAATGTTGTAGAATATCAAGGGGAAAAAAATGGTAGAAAGACCATATCGAATTTCAACCAAAGATATTCAAAGTAAATATGGCTTTCAAGATAAAAAAATATGAACTTAGTTAATTGTTAGGATGTGCCTTTGTCTCATCTTTGTGTAACGTAACTTCTTTTTGAGCAGGTTAGAGCAGAGATCCAAAGAGCTAAAACTGAGTTGGCATTTGAGCTTCAGAGGTCACCAACAGAGGAAGAGATAATAGCAAGAGTGAGTATATCACCTGAAAGATACCGTGATGTATTGAAGGCATCAAAGCCCATTCTTTCGCTAAACTCAAGACATATAACCACACAAGAGGAATTCATTAATGGGGTTGTTGATGATGGTGGTGTTGATGGTGATAATAAGAGGCAACCTGCTCTACTAAGGCTTGCTCTTGATGATGTGGTAATAACCCAACCCCTTTTGTTTGATCCTGCATAGTACTTTGATACGTCATTCTATTAAATTTTATTTTGATCATAACTAGATTTGCATAATGAGCTGGTAAAAGTCAGTTAAAATTTGAAAATTTTCAGAAGTGTTTTGTGTTTCTATATGTTCAAAACTTAAAATAAGTATGATAATCATATTCTTCTCTACAATATATTTTTTTTAATTTTCTTTTATCAATCCTATGTAGTGGCCTTCCTTGATGATTCATGCATAATAGTCACCACACTACATCTCTTTAACCAAATAGGGAATTAATTACACAAGTAAGATATTGACAATGTGACTCAGTCGTTAGAGGTGAATGAAAAGTCTTTAGATTCAATCTATATATTGCATCATTCCTATTACGGATGAGTTCTAAAAATTCTTATTAGGACAATGGTTGTTTGTAGTTTAAATTTTCGTGTTTAGTTTTACTAGTTTGTTAGTAATATTACGAATTCAATTACATGATATTGCTGTGTCTTATTGGAACTAATTTTTTATTTGATTTTTTGACTAGCTTGATTCCCTGAAGCCGAAGGAGAACTTGGTGATCAGACAGAGATTTGGACTTGATGGGAAGGGTGACAGAACGTTGGGAGAAATCGCAGGGAACTTGAACATATCTAGGGAAATGGTAAGAAAGCACGAAATCAAAGCTCTAATGAAGCTCAAACATTCGGCTCGATTGGATTATCTTCGTCGTTATGTTGTATAAATGACAAATGTATAGAAATATTTGTGCCATGGTAGTCCCACCTTGCCTAGTTATACAGTATAGGATAATTTGTATAACTGGTCATTGAAATACCCAAAATCATTATATAATCATGTAATTTGTATATCATATACTTGTAATTACACAAAGTATATAACTTCCTATACATGTTACATACATGTAATGCGTCTTCCTTTAAACAATCTACATTCATTATACAATATTTGCCAAGGCTACTCCTTCCTATCTCTTATTACAGTTGCATAATAATATGCAGAGTTAAATCTTCTAATATTACGTATGGGAGTTGACTTTTAAAAGTGAAAAAAAAGGGAATAAATTTGTATTTTTTAGTACACTTTTTTAATTTAATATTTTTTAACGTAACTAATATCATAAACTTAATATCTTAATTATATATACTAATTATTTTAACTTAAAAACAAAAAAATTAATCTCCTGTCCTTTTTATCCGAAACATGATTCCTAAATATTCAAGTACTGGATTCACTTATCGCTCCGTACAGATTGTGATTGGATTTGGCGTTTTTCATGAAGGATTTAGAGAACTCTAGAAGGCAACTAGGTTCATTATCAAACACCCACAGAATAGCCCTGATTTATATTTACAATTATTTTCTTTTGAGGTATTGTGTTGTGAACCAAATTTCATTGGGTTTTCATTGGTTGTTGGTGTAGCTTTCTCAGCTTTTATTAATTTTTATTTTGTGGAGAGGTTGCATTGACCCTCCGTTGGAAGATCGAAGAAGATCTCAGGCTCCACAAGGCACAAATTTAACCTTTGGGCCTAGCATTTGGCCCATTAGTCAAAATTCTAAATCTCATTAATAACGAATCCATTTGAAGAACATACTGACATATATTGTATGGGCCAAGAAGAACAATTAAAAATGGGAGATGGATCCAGTAGAAGCCCAAGGGGGTTAATATCAAATCTGCAAACCATAGTTAAATCTTCGTTTTAATTTAACATCCAATTATATTTCAAGTAGGGTTACCTCCTATGAAAATGCCCGTAGAGAAAAATGTTTGGAATCAGCATAAGATTCTGGTATTCTCATTCAATAACTAAGAGATTGATTTATTGAATGGATTTGAATCCTAAAGTTAGGGGTGTAATTTAGTTTAGAAGATCAAATGGAGAGCTATAAATTGTGATATTGTGCATATATTTTATTATAATTTCAATAATCTATTTTTAAATTAATGATTGCGATTACACTTTGTCTTCTAAGTGCACCCTTTCAGTGAATGAATATGGTTAAGTTCCGAGAACAAAGACACTTCTCATAATTTAAAAAAAAAAATCTTAATATATATTTTTTTAAGTTATTTGCGTTAATGTATCAGTTGTTTTTTAAAATTTTGGTCACCAAATTAGTATATAAAAAATTTAAGTTGTCAACAAATTAGTATTCTGAAGATGTAATCACTAAATCATTTCTTAAATTAAAAGATCTAAATTGTCACCATATTTGTTCTTATTAAAAAAAACTAAACTAATTATATTAGTTAAAATATACTATCGTTAAATACTAATTCAAAATGAAGCTTTTAATAATTACTAATGTATTATGTATTGTTAGCATGTTATATTTTATAATAATGAACATCAGATATAATACAACAAATGCTGACAATTATATGTTTCTGGATCAGTTGAATATATATTTCAGTCACATAAAGTGAAATCTTGTTTCGTTATCCACATTGAAAGCAAACATATATACAAACCAGTCTCTAAAATTATAACTTTTATAATTTAATATTTATATCGGCCGGTAGCCCTATTTCAACATTAATAGGGAAAAAAACACTTAATTTGATTGGGTTTTGGATTGAAACTTGATTTTTTTCTTCAAAACTTAGAGATAAAATTAGAGATATAAATGCTCGCATCCACCCTAATAATAGCTAATTAATTATAATAATTTGTAAAGTTGATCAGCTTACATGTACTAACAACATGATAAGTTGATTCAGACTTCTTTTATATATATATATATATATATATAATATTTTATCTAAGACCTATTTGATATGCGATTTATTTCAACAACAAACAAAAACTTTGATTTGCACAAAAAAGAGTTCGTTAAAATACGGAGTAGATTTCCTCAATTCCCAACGGAGACAGTGTTGTGTATCAAATTTTCAATGACCTCGATCACCTTGCTTGTGCATCTAGTGAAGAGTTGGTATGTAGTAGACGAGTAATGACTAGGATTTTAATTTTTTTTCTTTTTTTTTTTTCAATCATGATTGTGATAGTTACCATATCCACCTTATACATAATTAAAGTCATGTTAGGTGAAGAAACGAAAAGTTTAGGCAATGCTAATGAAGGAATAATATTTGTTTCTTACTAATGACAGCCATCAAGAATTGATATCTCATTCGGAGATGAGTGTTACAACGTATTCCGCGAAGGTGGCAGGGGCATCTAAAAGCTTGGTTGGATCCGATGCATCGTGTGAACCAATCAACATTTTTATATTAAGGATTCTCTTGTCTGCAGATCAGTGACGTGAATTTTGGACTTGACAAACTGCAAAGCTCATGAGTATGAAAACTGTTCTTGTATAGTTAAAATAATAGTAATCTATAGATACTTTTTACTTATACTAAATAAAATATCAATTATTTTGTGAATTGTATTCCATATTATGGGTAAAGTGTGAGGCTTTTCTTGATTATTGTTGATGTAGTTTAAGGAATAGTATATTTGATAAAGTTAGCAAGTGGACAAGGACTTAGGACGAAAGATCTTTTCTGATTAGAATGTTATCTCAAAATTTGTTCTTGCACTGATGGAAAAGACAACATGGAGGAATTAGCATGAAGTTTGATAGGAGCGAAGTGAGTGACATTAGGTAAATGATTTACACAACTACGTGTTTTGATTGGCTGGTTAATAATAGTATATATTATATTCTGTTTGTAAATTTTATTTCTCTAGCTCTTTCACAATTTTAAATACCATCTTCAATCCACGAAATACAAGAGAAATTTGTAGATGTCATATGAAAAGGACTATGGATCTGAATTATCCTAGACCTCAACGGTGGAGAAGTGGTCATAACTCGCTTTACATGTAGAAACAATGCACTTCAAAATTCAAAGTACATGTTCGAATATTAATAATGGGCGATCATGTCTCTATATACATATTCCACAAAAGTTGAATGTGTTCATAATGATAAAGCTAAGATATGCTTTACTGTTAAGATCATGAACCGAAAGACAAATATAAATAGTGTACGAAACTATGAATGGTTAAAAAAATAGTTAATAGTGACCAACAAATATTTGGTTAAACGGCAATGAAGAATCAAGAAGCCAGACATGAAAAAGAACCTTTTTTTTACGAAGAAAAAGAACGAATATTAATCATGGCTTGGCTACTGTCTTTTTAGGGCAAGAAGTTAAAGAATGGAGAAATAATTACCGAAAAGAAAATTGAAAACCAAAACTCTAAATGCGTTATCTGCACTTATTTTGTTCATTAGTTAATTACATTAGATCACCTTTCACTTAAACTAATTAAATATACATGTATAATGAACACAATTTTATGTACGGATTAATTAATTACGTAAATTACATGTGAATCACGAAAAGACAATATAAAATAACATAAATTCGAAATTAAGAAGCAGTCTCTTATGAGCGTGTGTATGTGATGCATCAGCAGATGGAAAAGGAGACATTCAAATCCACTGAACAGCTCTACAATTTCTTAATTTCTTTCCCCTTTGATTAGCTATTGTTCAATTGGTCTGCATCATTCTAGTACAAAACATGTATATCATGATTCGAATTAAATCAGTGATAATATATACTATGTACGAGGAGCACATACAAAAGCTTATTCTGGATATTCACTATTTCTACCAACTAAAACCGAATGTCAAAAGGAAAACATTTCAAAATATTAAGTACCCGAATCCCACTAAGCACGAAAAAGAAATAATGCCCGCGTTATTTGTCATCTCTCGGCCCATTGGGCCCACAAAATTGGAATTAGTGAATGTTAAGAGTAGTTAATTACTAATCATTAATCAAGCACGACCAAAAAATTAAGAAATACAAAAGTAATTAAAAATGTGCTATCAATGTATCTTTTTCACGATGTGTATTGTATCCTCTGTAATTTTAATTAACAAATTTTATTATTAATTGTTTGGCTAATATTTTTAAGATACACGCCATCCAAATATAATCATAAATTAAGGTTCATTTATTGTTAACCTGTTCTAGATAGAAGACAAAGAAAAGTTGATGACATGGTCCGAAAATCATGGTGATTTACGCCTTTGTCTTGTGATTTTTTTTTTTTATCAATTTTTTTAATTACAAATATCTTTACAAGAATTTTGGTCTATCTAAAATATCTTAAAAGTAATTCAGTTTGTGTTTGATAAAATTATTGTGAACAATAAAGTTTTTCTTTCTAAATATTTAATATAACTATATTTATTAAAATTTAAAGTTAAAAAATTACAAATTAAATTAAAATAATTCTTTACTAATTGATCACGTATTTAGTGGTCAAAAATCTTTGAAAATATATTAAAATAATTTAAAATATTAAAAAATAGTTTATTTTGATTTTCTTATTAAAATTTGTCATAAATAAAATTTAATTTGAATATATAATTAATATAAAAAGTTATATTATCATCAATTATTTATTGTAAGATTTATGTTAGAATAATACTTATTATTTATCAATATGACTAAATATATTTATTTATCTAATATATAAGTTAATAATTTAATTATTTAACAGTAAAATTATTTTTGAATAAAGTATAAATTTATGATATTATTTTTTATTATTATTGATAAATTGATTTTATTAAATTTTAAGGTTGAATTTAAATATTAAAAAATAATATATATTTATTAAAAAATCTTTATTATATTATAGATTTGAAAATATAATAATTATTTATTTCTTTAAATAAATATTTAGTTGATCAAAACTGTTGATAAATTAAGTATCTGTATTTTATAAAAACGATATAAGTAGTATTATTTATTTTACTTACTCACTATTCTCTATTATATAAATATTAATTATTAAGAATAAAATTATAAAATGAAACTTTAAATATTTATTAATTTTATAAATAATAAAAATAAAAATATTAAAATATTAAAGAACAAAAAAAAAACCTTAGCAAGTATATGCGAATCTACATGGGAATGTGTTGATATCGATGCATATCTGTCGCTTCTCGTACT